AAAAAAAAAAAAAAAAAAAAAAAAAGAAAAGAAAAAGAAAAAGAAAGAAATATAGGTAACTATCATTACACTGGGACCATTTTCAAGTCAGTATCGTGTAATCAAAAAAAATGTTTGTGGCTACTGTGCTTAGGGAGACACCCCTACCCCACTATGAAGATGCCTCAGGCTTTCACCTTCTCAGGACCAGGGCTCTGATCATGGCGAAGACAGAAACTCACCCCAGTGTTAGGGTCCAGACTCTTTTGTGAGGGCGTGGCTGACTTCTCTCCCTGCACTTGATGCTGAGGCTCTTCCTCTTCCTCCTCTTCTTCTTCCTCCTCTTCCTCATCTTCCTCCTCCTCCTCTTCTGCTTCCTCTTCTTCCTCTTCTCCTTCCTCTTCATCCTCATCCTCATCATCACTGCAGAAAGAGCTGGCTGAAGCAGATCCTCTCTACCCAGCAGCCCAGGCTGACTCCAAGACCTGGCTCTATCAGCCCAGAGACCTCACCTCAGCCAGGTGGGAGGGAGCCTAGAGGGGGTGGGAGCACCTGCTCCTAGGACAGGAGCAGGTGGATCACCAAGGAAATCCATGCTACGGACACAAAAGAATCAGATCTTGTCCCTGTCCTCAAGGAGCCCCAGGGGAGACAAGAAACAAAGACATTTGTTTTTGTTTCTGTCATACCCAGAGCCCAGGGCTTGGCAGGAACATTTCCCAGGTTGAAATGCCAGGGCAGGGGCGCCTACATCCACATGACCTCAGGAACTTACAGGTATGAGGGAGGAAGAAGAGTAGGGGTGTCCTTGCCCCACAGGAAGGCTAGTCCATTTCCCAGGGACCGTCGGAACTGTGAGGTTCAGGCCACCTCCAAGTCCCCAATTCCCAGCCTCAGCTCAGGGCCTAGCACCGAGGAGACACAACTGAGTATCTGACCCACAAACGAGGCTGACTTGGGGATGAGAGGGGCACAGAGAGCCAGGTGCTGATGGCCCAACCGGACTTGGATCCAGAGGCAGCAGCAGCTCCCCCACCGCGCCTTCGCCTCCAGGTGGACTCCCCAGGCCTCAGAATCTCTTCCTTTCTAGAGTCAGCGTCTTTTTTTTTAATTATTAATTTTTTTTTTTTTTTTTTTTTTTTTAAGACAGGGTTTCACCATGTTGGTCAGGCTGGTCTTGAACTCCCGACCTCAGGTGATCCACCTGCCTTGGCCTCCAAAGTTCTTGGATTACAGGCGTGAGCCACCACACCCGGCCTGAGTCAGCGTCTTAAGAACAATCCTGAACGCAGCCCCTTCTGGCAGCCCCCACCTCCCACTCCCATCACTGCCCAGGCCCCACCATATCAGGATGAGATCTGGCCTCACCCCTTCAGAGGCCTCCCGATTCCCCCCGCTCTAGAGGGTGGCTTCGCTCAGCCCGTATGAGCTCCTCTGTTGAATGGACAACTCATTTTATCTCTTCCCCATGAGCCAGAAACCCTGACTGTCCTACCCTTACAGACTTGATGCCTAGTGTATGACCTGGTACATAATAGGAGTGCAACCGACATTTCTGAATAAATACAAGTAGAAACAAATAAAGGGGCCAGGCATGGTGGTGGTCGCCTATAATCCCAGCTACTTGGGAAGCTGAGGCAGTAGAATCGCTTGAACCTGGGAGATGGAGGTTGCAGTGAGCAGAAATTGTGCCACTGCATTCCAGCCTGGGCAACAGGGCAAGACTCCATCTCAAGAAAAAAAAAAGAAACAAAGGAATGGCCTAACCCTGACCTCTGGGGCCGCCCACCCTAGTTCCCTACCTGAGGGATGCCAGCACCTTGGCCATGTTGAAGCCGTCCAGCACCTCCTGTAGCTGCTCACAGCCTTCTTCGCCCAGGGTGTTGCCTGCTCAAGGGGAGGGGAGACCAGTCAGCCCGGGGTACCAGGGCCAGCCTGCCAGACCTGTGCAGAGGACTCCCCCATCCGACTACCGTTCAGGTCCAGCTTCTCCAACTCAGCTTTGTCTGAAATGGCCTCGGCAACAGCCAGGGCAGCGTCCCTCTTGATTTCACAGAACGACAAGTTCAGCTCCTGAAAATAAAAGGAAGGGTTAGAGGCAGGCAGAAACCTGGGCCAGGACACCAAGTCCCACTCTAAGCCTCAGTTTCCCCAAGTGAGGATACGGCATACTCTGTCCTCCAGTGCTGTTTCCCAAGGCATTGGGCAAAGTGGGCAGAAGAATGACCCTGCAGCCAATAATGTGTCACACAGAGTGTGTTTATTCAACTATACCACAGTGATGCACACCACTCCCTGCCCACATTATAAATGAAAAACCATGGCTCAGAGGGGTGTGGAACTCACACAGCATCACAGGGCCTGAAGTGGAGGAGCTGGGATATGGACGCAGGCCCACCTACCTTCAGACCAGACTCCTGCACCCCCAGTCACCCCACCACCCACAGACCCCAGGAGGACGTCAGGGTCCAGGTTGGCACCTTCAGCTTGGGCAGGCCGCCACGGATGGCATCTGCAATGGCAACGGCACCCTTGGAGCGCACCAGGCAGTCCCCAAAATTGATCACCTCTACCTGCCGCAAGGTCTTCAAGGTCTGCAAGGGGGAAGCAAGGGTCCAGAGTGAGGGTGCAGGCCACACCCCAGCCCTCAGAAAGCACCATGGGGGCCCCATACAGTCACATCCCACACCAGCCACCACACACTGTCCTCCTCCCCAAGTCACCAGCTTTGCCGTCTTCTTGTTGGCCTCTGGGTCCCCAGCTAAAACCCCTTGACCCCACTCCCCATGTTACGGCCACAACTCTTCCTGAGGCCACTCGAGCAACGCTCCTGCCCAAGTCTCCGGGCCTTCCACACATAAGCTAATCCCTCTGCCTGAAACATCCACCTCCCACCTTCTGTCCAAAGACCACTCGTACTATACAACTTAGCCAAAATGTGATCTCTTCCAGGAAGCCTGCCCTAAGTCTGATTTGAACTTCCTTCTGACGTGTTCCCCAACACCTACACGCATCTCTGCTAACACATAAGCAGCCAGACTAGCCTTCTGTGGGGCCACAGGGCCCTGGCAGACAAGTAGCCACTGCATTCAGAACGCGGCACTGTCTCTGCCAGCACCTTCCTTCCCTCCTTGAGCTAGGGTCTCCTTGAAGGTGGGGTCTTTGGCTCAACCCTGTGCAGCTTGCACTTGCTTGGTACAAAGCCAAGCACTAAATGGGGGCTCAAAAAACAGCTGCTGGGTCAGGCACAGTGGCTACTCAGAAGGCTGAGGTGGGAGGATCACTTGAGCCCAGAGTTCAAGACCAGCCTGGCCAACAGTAAAACTCCATCTCAGAAAGTGGTAATAAAGAACAAAACAAACAATAGCTGCCGAACAAATCAACCAGGAGAACGGAGGTGGGAAGCAGCCTGCTCCTGTGCAGGCTGAGAACAAAACCGGCGCCAGCCACCGGGGGCCTCAGAGGCAGCAAAGGAGGAAGGCGGCACGAACACTCAGAGCTGCATGGGTTACTTGTGACCAGCAACCCTGTTCAGGACATGTTCAAAGAGCTGGACCCATGGGGCATACACCCAGGGGACAGAGCAGTCCGTGCTACACGGCCCCAGCTTCCCTGGAAAGGCAGCAGCAGCCTCTGTCTGGCAAGGCCCAGCTGGGCTCTGCCACACTTCCCTCACCTCGGCCATGGCCACAGCGCCCTTCTCAGTGAAGGTGTTGTCGTTCAGGTTGATGACCCGCAGCAGAGGGTTGACGGCGAAAGCCTGGGCCAGGGCAGTGACACCAGGGTGGTTGATCCCATTCTGTGGCATGTGGACCTCCTCCAGGGTCCCAATGACCTGTGAAGAGGAGGCAGAGCGTGGAGGGGGCCCCAAGTGCCAGGTGACATCCAGCAGGCAAGGAGAGCAATTCTGCACAGCAGGCACAGGAATAGGCTGCCACCAGCCTGGGGCAGGGGCTCGTCTGTGGGATTCTGGGGCATGGCTGCATCTGACTTTCCTCAACCTCCTGAGGGAGGCCTACTACCTGGGATAGGATCCCCACCAAAGAAAAGACTAGGGATCAAACAGGTACAGTGACTTGCCCAGGGTCACACAGCTCTAGATCCAGCGGGTTGATTTCTTGTTTTCACTCTGGGGTCCTCTGCACAGCAGGGACCCTGGTTCTGGTAGGCAGGCACTCATGGCCCTTCTCGGGATGACACAGCTCCATGTGACCTTTTTTTCTTGGGGCCCTCTTACCCTACCCACCTACACAACATAACGCCTTCGACATGCCGTGTCCTCTGGGGATGGGAGGGTCTTCCCTGGCCCATGCAGCCCTATCTCATCCTGGCCTTTTGATACACATTCTCTCCACCTGGAACACTCTATCTCCTTATTTGTCAGCATTTTTTCTTACTTTTTTTGAGACGGAGTCTCACTCTTGTCACCCAGACTGGAGTGCAGTGGCACGATCTCAGCTCACCACAACCTCTGCCCTCCAGGTTCAAGTGATTCTCCTGCCTCAGCCTCCTGAGTAGCTGGGATTACAGGCACACACCACCACACCTGACTAGTTTTGTATTTTTACTAGAGATGGGGTTTCACCGTGTTGGTCAGGCTGGTCTTGAATTCCTGACCTCAGGTGATCCAGCTTCCTCGGCCTCCCAAAGTGCTGGAATTATAGGCAAGAGCCGCCATGCCTGGCCAGTCAGCATTTTCTTTCTTTCTTTCTTTTTTTTTTTTTTTTTTTTTTTTTGCAACTGTGTATTTCAGGAAAGCATTTGCTTGACTGGTTAACTCACAGGCATTCTGTGGCTCTTGTTTTGGTCACCTTCTCCCCCAGGAAGGCTTCCTGGATTCCTCCAGCCAGGGTCCAGTGCTTTTCCTCTGTGCCTCCGCAGCACCTGTTCCCTCTTCTGTCACAGTGGTCCTCACCCTGCCTACATTCAAAGTGTATATTCCTGTCTGCACCCCATTGTCCCCTCAGCTTTGGAGGAGAGGGCCATGTCCGAGTCTCCACTATGACCCAGGACTGAAGACAGACCTGGCATAACTGTGCCAAGGCACCTTCTGCTGTCCTCCAGTGCTCACTGCAGCATGGGGTAAGCAGGGGAGCAGGTGGTTCACAAATACAGGAAGACCAACTGAGGCACATTCCAGGTCAGACCTTCTGAATATTTTCTGTGCTATGAACCTTTCAGGCAGTCTGGTGAGACCCCTGGGTCCACTCCTCAAAAAATGGTTTTTTTTTTTTTTTAGTTTTAAGGAAAATTATACAGAACTACAAAGGAAATCAACTCAATAGGAACAGTTATTAAAACATTTAGGAAAAAACTCCAAATGCATGCTGCAGTAATATACGAACTTCTTGTTAATGCACTAAATAACAAGATCTAGGGGTGGGTCCACTATTACTGCAATTTTGATGTAGTGAGAAATATTTTTTTTTTTTTTTTTTTTGAGACGGCGTTTCGCTCTTGTTACCCAGGCTGGAGAGCAATGGCGCGCGATCTTGGCTCACCGCAACCTCCGCCTCCTGGGTTCAGGCAATTCTCCTGCCTCAGCCTCCTGAGTAGCTGGGATTACAGGCACGTGCCACCATGCCCCGCTAATTTTTTGTATGTTTAGTAGAGACAGGGTTTCACCATGTTGACCAGGATGGTCTCGATCTCTTGACCTCATGATCCACCTGCCTCGGCCTCCCAAAGTGCTGGGATTACAGGCTTGAGCCACCGCACCCGGCCGAGGAATATTTCTATATATCAGCAAAAACTTAACTTGAGATGAAATATCTGTGATTTCCACTAGGGACAGAGTCACAAGATTTTCTTTTTATTTATTTAAAAAATTATTTGGCCAGGTGCGGTGGCTCACACCTGTAACCCCAGCACTTTGGGAGGCCGAGGAGGATGGATCACAAGGTCAAGAGATCGAGACCATCCTGGCCAACATGGTGAAACCCTGTCTCTACTAAAAATACAAAAAATTAGCCGGATGTGGTGGCACATGCCTGTAATCCCAGCTACTTGGGAGGCTGAGACGCTTGAACCCAGGAGGTCGAGGTTGTGGTGAGCCGAGAATGCGCCATTGCATTCCAGTCTGGGCAACAAGAATGAAACGCCGTCTCAAGAAAAAAAAAAAAAAAAAAAAAATTTAGGCTGGGTACAGTGGCTCATGCCTGTAATTCCAGCACTTCAGGAGGCCAAGGCGGGTGGATGACCTGAGATCAGAAGTTTGAGACCAGCCTGGCTAACACAGTGAAACTGTGTCTCTACTAAAATACAAAAAATAGTTAGGTGGGCATGGTGGCGTGCGCCTGTTGTCCCAGCTAATCAAGAGGCTGAGGTGGGAGGATCACGTGAGCCTGGGAAGCTGAAGCTGCAGTGGGCTGAGACTGCACTCCAGCCTGGGCAACAAAGTGAGGCCCTGTCTCAATAAAAAAAATTTTTTTTAAATTCAAGGGCCACATGGGCTCATGCATTATGTGGGTAGTCACAAGCCTTTCTAATGCTGTGACATTTATTGTGTACATTCATAATCAAAGGCCATACTACACATTTTAGCTACACTAGGAATAAATAATGATGCTATTTTTTTCTCATCCATGTTCACAGACCCCTGAATTCTATCCACAGACTGGAGGAGATTAAGAACCCCCATTCTGCCGGGCACGGTGGCTCAAGCCTGTAATCCCAGCACTTTGGGAGGTAGAGGCGGGTGGATCACGAGGTCAAGAGATCGAGACCATTCTGGTCAACATGGTGAAACCCCGTCTCTACTAAAAATACAAAACATTAGCTGGGCATGGTGGTGCGTGCCTGTAATCCCAGCTACTCAGGAGGTCGAGGCAGGAGAATTGCCTGAACCCAGGAGGCGGAGGTTGCGGTGAGCCGAGATCGCGCCATTGCACTCCAGCCTGGGTAACAAGAGTGAAACTCCGTCTCAAAAAAAAAAAAAAAAAGAAAAAAAAAAAAAAAGAACCCCCATTCTGGCTGGGTGCAGTGGCTCATGCCTGTAATCCTAGCATTTTGGGAGGCCGAGGCCAGCGGATCACAAGGTCAGGAGATTGAGGCCATGATTGAGACCATCCTGGCTAACATGGTCAAACCCCGTCTCTGACAAAAATACAAAAAATTGGCCGGGCACAGTGGCTCACGCCTGTAATCCCAGCACTTTGGGAGGCTGAGGCAGATGTACCACTTGAGGTCGGGAGTTCAAGACCAGTTTGACCAACATGGAGAAATCCCGTCTCTACTACTAACAATACAAAATTATCTGGGCATGGTGGCGCGTGCCTGTAATCCCAGCTACTCAGGAGGCTGAGGCAGGAGAATTGCCTGAACCCAGGAGGCGGAGGTTGTGGTGAGCCGAGATCGCGCCATTGCACTCCAGCCTAGGCAAGAAGAGTGAAACTCTGTCTCAAAAAAAAAAAAACAAAATAAAACATACAAAAAGTTAGCTGGGTGTGGTGGTACGTGCCTGTAGTCCCAGCTACTTGGAAGGCTGAGGCAGGAGAATCACTTGAGCCAGGGAAGCAGAGGTTGCAGTGAGCTGAGATTGTGCTACTGCACTCCAGCCTGGGTGACGGAGCAATACTCCATCTAAAAAAACGACCCATTTTAAGCCCACCAGAGGACACCTTATGAAGGCTCAGCACAACCACAGCAACCCTCCGATTCCCAGTGCACAGAGGACAGCAAGCTGAGGGCAGGGAGGGATCCAAGGATGGCAGTGAGGCCCCTCCAGCTCTTGAGGAGGCAGCAGGAGCTCCCCTGCAGCCAGGGGTGCAGGGAGACATAAGGCAGATCTCTGTGCTGTCCACTTGGCACTAAAGTAGGCAAGGAGTGTCTACAGACAAACTGTTGGCAGGCAGGACAGGGTGCCCATCCGGCCCAGTATGAGCAATGCTCCTAGGATACTGTTTGTTGAAAAAACATTTAAATTCAGAGAAGAGTGGCTGGGCACAGTGGCTCACACCTATAATCCCAGCACTTTGGGAAGCCCAGGCGGGAAGACCACTTGAGGTCAGGAGTTCGAGACCACCTGTCCAACATGGTAAAACCCTGTCTCTAACAAAAATACAAAAATTAGGCCAGGTGCAGTGGCTCATACCTGTAATCCCAGCACTTTGGGAGGCCAAGGTGGGTGGATAACGAGGTCAGGAGATCAAGATTATCCTGGCCAACACAGTGAAACCCCAATTCTACTAAAATACAAAAAACTAGCCAGGCATGGTAGCCCGCGCCTATAGTCCCAGCTACTTGGGAGGCTGAGGCAGGAGAATATCTTGAACCCAGGAAGCAGAGGTTGCAGTGAGCTGAAATCACGCCACTGCACCCCAGCCTGGTGACAGAGCCAAACTCCATCTCAAAAAAACAAAACCAAAAATTAGCCGGGTGTGGTGATGGGTGCCTGTAATTCTATAATTACAGCTACTTGGGAGGCTAAAGCAGAACTGCTTGAACCTGGGAGTCAGACGTTGCAGTGAGCCAAGATTGTGCCACTACACTTCAGCATGGGTGATATACTGAGACTCTGTCCCAGAAAAACAAAAAAGAAAAGAGGGAGACAGACCCCAAAGTTTTCAGTCCTGTTATGGGCAAGTGTGACCTTCTCCTGGCACTCATGGTCGGAGACTCAACAATGTCCTAGGAAGATGGGGAGATGAGGAGAAGGGGAGACGAGGAGAGTGGAAGAGGAGCGGAGACAAGGTCACTCAAGAGCACCTCCTCTGGCACCTAAGCCCTGTGGCTGCCCCTGCCTGTCTCCCTGTCTTGGGCAGTCTAGTATGTTCCTTCTCCGTGCCCCACACCAGGGGCTGGGAGCACTCATCACTCATGCCATCTCGCTCCACCACTTTTTTTTTTTTTTCCCCGAGACAGTTTTGCTCTGTTGCCAGGCTGGAATGCAGTGGCAAGGTCTCGGCTCACCACAACCTCTGACTCCCTGATTCGAGCCATTCTCCTGCCTCAGCCACCTGAGTAGCAGAGATTACAGGCACGAGCCACCATGCCCAGCTAATTTTTGTATTTTTGTTTTGTTTTGAGACAGAGTCTTGCTCTGTCACCCAGGCTGGAATGCAGTGGCGCAATCTTGGCTCACTGCAACCTCCACCTCCTGGGTTCAAGCAATTTTCCTGCCTCTGCCTTCCAAGTAGCTAGAACTACAGGCACCCACCATCATGCCTGGCTAATTTTTGTATTTTTAGTAGAGACGGGGTTTCACCATGTTGGCCAGGATGGTCTTGATCTCTTGACTTTGTGATCTGCCTGCCTTGGCCTCCTGAAGTATTGGGATGGCAGGTGTCAGCTACTGCGCCTGGCATCTCACTCCGCCAAATCTGGGCCTAGCAGATGACACTCCCTGGTCAGAGTGGCCTGAAGTCTCACAGGGGGCTGCTGCTGGCTCACCTTTGGGAGCAGTCACACACCTTTCCAGAACTGCAAGACGAATCCTGGCCCATTTTCAAATGGGCTAACAGGCTTGAAGAGGGCATGTGATGCCCCAGGTCTCTCGGCTGAGTGCCTGCCCTGGGATTCACACCCAGGACTATCAGCTTACTGTGCCGAGTGCACGTCAGGGCTGCAGGGGCAGGATGGACAGAAACCACTCACCCTAAAAGCTTCCGCCAAAGCAGTGGCGCCATCATTCTCCAAACGGTTTCTGCCAGCTACAAAGACCTTCAGGGCCAGAGGCTTGCCTTGGGCACTGGATTTCCGGTGACACTCGGTCAGAGCTGCAGCCAGGATCTGTGGGAAAAGGCAAGGGGCCCAGGCCGTGGGCAAGAGCCCTAGCGGGGTGGCCACTGCTGCTCAACTGCTCTTCCACATCCCAGGCATTCAGGCAAAGCACTGAAAAACAGAGACTGACTGATGGGAATCAGAGCCCATGGTCAATGAGACATAAAAGAATCATGAGTGAGTGTACCAGGAGAGAAGTGATGTTTGCAGAACACCTGATGTTTGCAGAGCACCTGCTAGGGCCTGGGCACCCTCAGCAAGGTATTTGCATACTTTCTCACTTCAACCTCGACACCAGCCTGGGAGACAGGCAGGACTGGTCATACTTTGTAGATGAGGAAGCTGAGGCTCTGAGAGGTGAGTGAATCGGCCAAGGTCACCCGGCAAATACTCAGCAAAGCTGCACGTGGTGGGTATGTTGGCCTAACTCCTGGCATGAGACTGCACACAGCTGTCCTTGAGGAACAGAAGGGCCAGCATCTGCCTGACTTCATGCTGGCGATGCTGGATCATGCACACACTCAAGGTAGAGATATCAAACTTCTGCCATAGGCCAGCCTCTCAGGAAAATACTCAGCAGCAGCAGCTGACTGCTAGGTCACCCCCATTCTCCCCGATTCCCTGGAAGCCATGTGGGGAGGGCCTTAGCTCCTGCGGGAGTCCAACTTGGGTCTGGATAGTTCCCAAGCATTGGGCCACACCTCTTACCCTGCCAACTCCTCTGGGCCCTCCTATTCTCATGGTGCATGGTGCAGAGACTGCACTAAACACATACTACCCAGAAGGAAAAGATTCCAAAGGACCTACAGGCCTTGGTTAGACACCCAGACCATGGTGTCTGAGCTCCCAAGAAGCAAAGATCAGCAAGGCCAGGACCCAGAGACCTAATCAAATCAGTGGTCAGGGAGGCTCAGAGAACCATCTGTCAAACTCTAGGGTGAGTCTGCCTGCCTGTGGGGCCCTCTGGCCCTGGGATTCAAAACTCATTCCCCAACTCATCCCACTGCAAGTACAGGACAGGCTAGACAAGCTCTGGCCAGTAGGAAAGTCCCCTGACTATCAGTTTCTAGGCACTGCTGGATGGGAGAAGGGAAGTAATGGAAGGAAAACCGAAGCATTTGGCTGGAGTCTCCGGCTCTCCCAGCATATCCTACTCATTCTAGGTTGGGCTGCACCTGCTTTCTGTGCTGATGTAAACATTTTTAGATTTTTTTTTTTTTTTTTTTTGAGACGGAGTTTTGCTCTTGTTGCCCAGGCTGGAGTGCAGTGGCGCCATCTCGGCTCACCACAACCTCTGCCTTGCGGGTTCAAGCAATTCTCCTGCCTCAGCCTCCCGAGTAGCTGGGACTACAGGTGCCCACCACCATGCCCAGCTAATTTTTGTATTTTTAGTAGAGATGGGATTTTACCATGTTGGCCAGGCTGGTCTCAAACTCCTGACCTCAGGTGATCCACCTGCCTTGGCCTCCCAAAGTGCTGGGATTACAGGCGTGAGCCACTGCACTTGGCCCATTTTTATATCTTAACACAGGGACAGCTTATTGCCCAAGTGGACTTTGGGGAGGGCTGGCTAAGGCAGGCACAGAGCCTGCCCCTACTCACCCTTACATCAGGCAGAGGGCCACAGGCACCCTCTGCAGGGTAGGCCACTCTAGCTCCTCAGCCTGGGCTCCATGGGCCTCACAGCACTGGCTATGTGATCCACCCCACCCCACCTCTCTAAGCCTATGCTGATCATGTGGAAAAATGGGGATGGCACCACCCCCCTTTCAGTGGGGATGGGAAAGTTAAGGTACTGCATATTCAAATAAGATGTCCCCAACTGCTGTTAGTTCCATGTCCCCAGCCCTATCCTCCCTTTGGTCAGAAGTGTTTGTAGGGGTTGCAGCCTGGCACTCAGTGTTCTCCAACCCTGGGTCTAAAGGCATCAGGATGGAGCTGAAGAGAACAGGGCAGGCCACTCTCGATGCAGGTTCTGGGAAGAAAGACGCTCCACCCTACACTGACCAGCCCAACTTGAAGCTCTAAACTGACCCTGCCTGGGGACAGCCCCCGGGCAAGGCCCTGTCCAGGAATAAAGGTGAGCTGTGACTCTTCCTCCATGAGCAGACACTCTTTTCAGGCTTCTTCCTCAACCTGTGTGCCCGGCTCTGCCAGCTGCTCTGAGGGTACAGTGAGTGTAGGGATGCTCCAAGACCTGACTTTTGCAGAACCAGCAGGTATGCAGCAGCACTCTCTCTGCATTGCCAAGCCAACCCAAGAAGTTGGGATGGTTGCTTGGCAACCCACTCTCATGGACACCTCTACCCTCTGGCTGTAGGCTGCTGCCTTTGAGGCATTTCTCGTTTGAAAACAGCTGACCATCCCAGATGGTGGTGGCCAAGGGCCAGGGCACATAGGTCAGATGGATGTGGATGGAGCAGGGGACTCTGCTGGGAGGGCGCCGCCATACCCACCTTGCCGCCACCAATGCCCATGCCACAGTTGTTGAGCTTGAGTTCATGCAAGGTGAAACAGGCTGAGCTCTTGAGCAGGGCTTCGAAGCCTTGTACGCCGTCGGGCCCGAATGCGTTGTCACTTAAGTCCAGTTCCACCAGCTGGGCCCCAGCTGTGATGAGTCCTTCCCCTAGTGAGATCTGGGCACAGAGGAAGCTCGTGTCAGTTTCATAGACACTCAGCAGGTGCTGCTTCTGTGTCAGGCCCAGCTCTGCCTTCTGAGGACACCCCGGCTAATAAAGAACTGGCATAGACACGAACCATTTCGGTATTCTCAAGACTAGAAACCCTGCAAAGGGCTCCTAACAGATGGAGACTGGGGCGTGTGTATGCATGGGATGGCCTGGGAAAGCTCTTTCTAAGAAGTGGCATTTGAGCTTAGTCTGGAGAGAATCAGCTAGTCAACATGAAAAGATTCCAGGCAGCTGCAAAAACAGGAGCAGAGACATAGGCATGAAGCAGCAGGCTGTGAACCTGGGGGCAAGCTGTGGGAGGGCTTTAGAAGAGGCCATGGCGTGGGCTTTGGATGGAAGGGAAGTGAGGGGTCAGATCAGGCAAGAGTCTTGAATGCCAGGCCAAGGACTGTGAACCTCAGCCTGCGAGCACTAGGTTTTGAAGTGGCTGAGGGATGTGGAAGAAACTTCCCCGGATCTGAGGAGAGCACATGGACAGGTGGGGGGCTGGAGTGCCCACCCAGGAGTGTGAGGCAGTGACACTGGCAACAGACAGGGGACCTGCTGGCCGGTGTGACAAGTGCAGGAGAGGAGCTGCCTGTTCATGAAGCAGGGGACATGCAGGAGCTGGTGGTTCCCTGGATGTACAGGAAGAGGGAGGAAGGAACCACAAATGCCTCCAGGGTTTCTGATGTTGACTGGCAGATGGAGGTGGCCATCTCCAAGCCACGGCCAGGGACCAGCTTTGGCAGGTGGATTCGGAGCTCTCCTGGAAACCTCTTGGGCTGGGGAGAGCTACACTCCTAAGCCCCCAGGAGAAATGGTCAGAGGAGAGGAGGCCCTGCCAGAGACTTGGGGCAGAAATGGGGCTGGGCAGGTGGTCCATGGCGGCAGGAATAAGGAAGGGAGACTCTCTGCCCTCGCCCTGGCCACAGGCATGGAAGCTGAGGCAGTTTCTACCGTCCTCCCACCACTCAGCAAGCAAAAGGCAGCGAGTCCGCTGGTTGCCTGGCACACAGAAGTCCTAGCCCCTGGCCATCTGGCCCCAACTGACCTCCAGCCCTGAAGAGGCAGAGCTGCTCAAATACCCTGTGCCTACTCTACTTCGTGCCATCTTCTGACCCCACATTCTCTTATCCCCCTCTTAAGATTTGTTTTTATCACTGGGAACATAGAGCTAAGAAGACTTTCTTTCCTCATTCCTGTAAGGTCAAGTAAAAGAAAACAAAAACCAAATAGATACCTTCTGAAAGCTCAGGAAAATTAAATGCTAAAATTTAGGTAAAACCTGCACAACGAGAATTCCACAGTGAGTATGCAAAATGGAGTTTTCTTCACCATCTTTTCTGACTTGAAATTCTTTTTTTTTTTTTCTTTTGAGACAGTCTCTCTCTCTCTGTCTCACCTAGGCTGGAGTGCAGTGGCATGATCTCAGCTGACTGCAACCTCTGCCTCTCAGGTTCGAGTGATTCTTCTGCCTCAGCCTCCAGAGTAGATGGGATTACAGGCACCCACCATCATGTCCAGCTAATTTTTGTACTTTTGTAGAGATGGAATTTCACCATGTTAGCCAGGCTGGTCTTGGGGTCCTGACCTTACGTGATCTGCCTGCCTCGGCCTCCCAGAGTGCTAGGCTTACAGGCGTGCATGGCCACCACGCCTGGCCTGACTTAAAATTCTTTAACATACAATCACTAAAATGAATTTGTTTTCTCCTTGAGACAGAGTCTTACTCTGGCACCCAGGGTGGAGTATAGTGGGATGACCTTGGCTCACTGCAACCTCCGCCTCCTGTGTTCAAGCAATTCTCCTGCCTCAGCCTTCCAAGTAGCTGGGATTACAGGCATGCACTACCATGCCCAGCTAACTTTTTATTTTTAGTAAAGATGGGGTTTTGTCATGTTGGCCAGACTGGTCTCAAACTCCTGATCTCAAGTGATCCGCCAGCCTCAGCCACCCAAAGTGCTGGGATTACAGGCGTGAGCCACCTCACACATGCAGAAATGAATTTTCTTAACCTACATTCCAAATCCTGGCCTCACAAACCAGGTGCAGTGGCACACACCGATAATCCCAGCTGCTTGGGAGGCTGATGTGGGAGGACTATTTGAGCCCAGGAGCTCAAGACCATTCTGGCCAACATAGTGAGACCCTGTCTTTAAAAATAAAAGAAAAAAGGGCCAGGTGCAGTGGTTCATGTCTGTAATTCCAGCACTTTGGGAGGCTGAGGCGGGTGGATTACCTGAAGTCAGGAGTTCGAGACCAGCCTAGCCAACACTGGCAAAACCCCATATCTACTAAAAATACAAAATTAGCCAGGCGTGGTAGTGAATGCCTGTAATCCCAACTACTCGGGAGGCTGAGGCAGGAGAATCACTTGAACCTGGAAGGTTGAGGTTGCAGTGAGCTGAGATTGCACTCTAGCCTCAGCGACAGAGTGAGACTCTGTCTCAAAAATAAATAAATTAATTAATTAAATTAAATAAAAGGCCAGGCGCGACCAGGCTGAGGGCTTAGTAACATCAGCGTGCACACTCATCACTGACCAGAAACCTGCACCCTCAGGGCCTGCTGTGTGCAGCCTCATGCTAGGAGGACACACTGAGAGGCTGCTGACAGTGAGACCTGCCCTCTTCTCTTGCCCAGGGAAGCCTTCCTGTGTTCTGTGAGGCCCCTTTCTATTTCCTTCCATGCACACACACACATACACACACACACACACACAGTTCCGGGAAGACTGGGAACTTGACGCAAGCCGGTCTGAGCCCGGGAGGGAAGAAATGGGAAGCCAGCCATGATGGGCACAAACCAAAGCTGAGAGTGGCATGGAGAAAGGGAGGAGCCAGAGAAAGACTGGGACAGGCTTGTGGGCTATGTGCAGAGAAGTCACGAAGGAGCAGGACTGTGAGGTGCAGGGAGAGGGTGCCAGGAAAGCTGAGGCAACCGTGTTGGGGTGAAATCCACAGTGAGCCAAACAAACCTCACAGCTCAGGAGGACCCAGGAGTGTGTGGTCTCAGCTTTCCCGCCTCCCTGGAGTCCCCGCCCTCAGGTTTCCTCCCCTGCCAGCTCCTGTGTTCCCACCTGCCCCTCCTTTTGGGACACAGGCCGCATGCTGGGCTGGCTGGGCTTCCATTTCAGCAGCTCAATCACCCAATCACCCACAGGGCTTATCTTAGGCTCCAGAAAGAATAAGGTGTGAGAAAAGCCCTGGGAATTGCCAAAGAGGGCCCTGCGCCTTGAGGGGAAGCACAGCCTGTTCGCTTACCAGGGCTGGTGGGATCTCGGACCGCAGCCTCCCAGTGAACATGTCACTCCAGTGGCAGCGCTGTGGCAGAAAGAAGAGGAGTTAGCGGGAGGGAGACCCCTGGAGGCCTACAGTGAAGCCTCATCCTGGTGGACCTGAACTACCCCAGCATCGAAAGACTTAATTTGAGCTTCGTCTGTGAAAAGCGGGACCTATTCTGGCTGAAGCTGGTGGGACCTGTCTTCAAGTCAAGAGGCCTCCAAGGGTTATATGGGGCTCAGAAGTGTCAGGAATTGCATTGGAACCGAACCATTTTCTGAGTAAAAATAAAAAAGGAAAAACAAAAACAAAAAAAGAAGTGTCAGGAAAATCCCTGACTTGTACAACCCTCTAGGTGGATGTGTGACATGGTTATGGATGACAGAGAAACATGAATGTAAACAACACAGAATTCAATGTTGAGGGCTGGTGGTTCACAGCCAGTAATGCCAGCACTTTGGGAGGTCGAGGCGGGCAGATCACTTGAGGTCAGGAGTTCCAGATCAGCCTGGCCAACACGGCAAAACCCCAGCTCTACTAAAAATACAAAAATTGGCCAGATGTGGTAGCATACGTCTGTAATTCCAATTACTGGGGAGGCTGAGGCAGGAGAATCGCTGGAACCTGGAGAGGCAGAGGTTGCAATGAGCCAAGGTTGCACCACTGCAGTCCAGCCTGGGTGAGAGTAAGACTCTGTCTCAAAAAAAAAGAATTCAGTGTTGAGGAAGTAACTTTTTTTCAAGTGTCTTTTCAGCCCTTCAGACCATCTCTGAAGTTGGCCTTGGCGTGAGGCTGCTGGGT